AAAAAAAAAAAAACACACCCCGAAAACAAAACCAACCCGACATTATGTATGTAATTTTAAAATTTTATTTTATACATAAAAATATTTACTTTGATATAATTTTTAAATGTTTCTTATACTTTTTCATAGTTTTTATCTTTTAATATATTATTTCAAGTTTGAAACTTAGAATTCTGAATGGTCCAATAAAGATTATAGTCCACAGATGTCGGTAATTATTATAAAGCTTAAATCAAAATCAAATTAATATTAATGCAAAAAGAAAATCAATTCAACACTAAGAATGGCAATAATATTGAATATTTGTTCTTTAGTTTTACATTGGTTTAGACAATTAAAATAAATAATCTAATTTTAATTTCCTTTAATATTTAGTCATATATCTAATACTTATTAAACTTATTTTAGCATGATTTAGTACTTTTAAATTATGATCATTTTCATTATGACTTGTTAATTTGCAATATTTATTTTACGCGATTTCATTATTATTATTTTTGTTGGATATTTTAGTGTCATTAATCATATCATATTTTGTGTTATTTTTTTAAGAAACACCTTAGATAGTTGTATTTTGGTAGGACTAAAGAAATATTTGAAGTACAAGTAAATTATATGTTTGTATGAATACTTTACCGGAAAAACCCAAAACAACCCAAAAAACCAAAAAACCCGAAAAAATTCAAAAAAACCCGAGGTTGAAAAACCCGAGTTTTATTGGTTTGGTTTATAAATTAAAAAATTCGACACAAATGGTTTGGTTTGATATTTGAAAAATTCAAACCAACTCGGCCATGTACACCCCTAGTGATGATATAAAACTTAAATTATGTGTATGTTTGTTGGTGTGGAAATAATTGTAGGTAGTTTGGTAAAATGGTGGTTTATTTTCAGGAAGTTAAGTGTGACTAAATTTGGATTCGCTTCAAAAAGTTCTACTGAAAGGTTAAACGCTTCCTTAAAAAGACGATTTAATATCTAGAGCTCGAATCTCAAATATTGATTAAAAATAAAGAAATATTTACCATTTCACGTATCATTGTATATATAAGTTGTATATATTATTATTAATTCATTGGCAGCTAGCTGAGAAATGTTAAAGAAAATGAAAGTAATTAAAGGCATCTTTGCACATGCCTCTAAATTTTTAACATTCCTTAAACAAATGCCAAACATTTTTCTTTGTGTTGTTCTTACATGAAACGACTTACATTATAGTTGCTCGTTTCGTTGGGAAATAAGTTATCTTTAAATTAATTATTTTTAATATCAATGTGAAATAAAAATAATATTACAATTTATGAAATAATTAGTTTCGAAATAAATTATTTCACAATTTTATTCCAATTATTAAATATAAAATAAACTAATTCTAGGATTTTCGTTCCGATAAACAAACCATAATGTTAAAGGGGGTATAAAGCATCTTCGTACATGCCCAACCACCACCGCAGAATAAAAGAGCAGCTTATGTTGGTCTTTTAAGGAATAATAAATCATAAAAAAACACATTTAATAATATAAAATTGTCAATTATCCAAAGTTCTACCGTAGATTAAGTTTTTTCTCAGTTTCTTTTTAGTTGTCATAGTTTTTTTTTAGAGTCAAATGATATGAACTTTAACTAACATTTTAAGATATAATTTTTCATCATATTGATATGAAAAAAATTGCATTTTGTAGTACTTTTCATATAGTTTTTGAATATCTAATTTTTTATTTTAAAATATGGAATTAATGTAATGTAGTTTAGATTTGAAACTTAGAGCGCGTTTGGATTGCCTTAAAAAATAGTTTTTAAGTCAAAAATAAAAAGTCAAACTTAATGACTTTTAAATCAAAAAATAAAAAGTAGGGGGAGACCACTTTTGATTTTTAGGTCATTTTAAACTTATTTTAAGTTATTTTTAACCTTGTCAAACACTTTCTAACTTATTTTAAATTATTTCTACATTTGTCAAACACTTCTCGAAGTCAAAAACTGACTTAGAAGTAAGTTTGACCAACTTTTAAGTCAACCCAAACACCTCTTAGTCAAATTGACTTTTGAAAAACGCAACCTGACAACTAAAAAGAAACAGAGAGCGTATGTATATAATTTAATATATTTTGCACTTTCCACTATATATATCTGCCCCTTCCTACCCTTGAAACCAATACTTTCTCATCCAACACTTTCAAACATTACAAAAAAAAATAAAAAAAATTCCTAACAAAAATGTCCTCTTGCAGCAAAATCCGCCATATTGTTAAGCTCCGCCAAATGCTGCAACGTTGGAGGAAGAAGGCCGCTACAACATCGTCCCGTAGGCACGTCCCGAGCGACGTGCCTACGGGTCACGTAGCGGTCACAGTAGGCCCCAATTGCAAGAGATTTATTGTCCGTGCCACTTATTTAAACCATCCAATGTTCAAAAAATTGTTGTCACAAACAGAGGAAGAATACGGTTTTACTAACTCTGGCCCATTAGCCATTCCTTGTGACGAATATTTATTCGAAGAGTTGCTTCGTTACTTGGCTCGATTCGACTATGCTAACAACAACAATAATATCATGAAATATTTCGAAGATTTTCAAAGATATTGTCACATGGATATTCGAAGTGATATTGATTTTTGGGGTGATTCTAGACCACTTTTGCATAATAAATCTATATGGTGAGTTCAAGATTTTAAGTCGATGAATACAGACAGTCGTGGAAATGTGATTGGTGATGGCAAGAAAGTGGATGAGTTGATTAGCTCACACAGAGTCGTCCTATATTTTGAATTAAGAGTGAAATTCAAGTACAAAGAAACAAGTACTACAAAACACAGAGAATTTGCAATGTTGCTCATTTATTTTGTACTAGTATTTTTTTTAATGATATATTATATGGAAAAATTGTAGAGAAATTAATTAGAAGTATTCACAATCTTCTATACATCATAACTATACATGGATTTTGAATAAAATATGATATGATAATTTATTGTTTTTTTTTATAGTGAATGAATAGTTGAGTAGTAGTGTGCTTAATGTTGTTTAAGTCACGCTCAGTGTTGTGTAGTACTGAAGTCTCAGAAAGATAAAAGATTTATACAAATATTATGACCTTCGTTTGCATGTAAAAAATTGTGAAAATGATGTTATTTTTAGACTATAAAACCTTCTTCATATTTGCGTCCTTCGTTTATCATTTCTTGTAGATTTTCTCCCGATCTCCATATATGTATAATAGTTGTTTTGGTAATTTTTTACCGGACAACAAATAATTACCATCTCCAATAATAGTCCTAAAAGGATGATCATTTTATAATAAGCTTGATAGTAAGTAGGCAGTTTCATTTAGTTTTTTATTTCGATTTTATTGAATATGTAATATGATAAGCTTGATAGTAAGTAGGCAGTTTTGACTTTTTTTTTTTTTTTTTTTGGTTTTCCATTTGGTGTCCGGAGCCCACATTGGAGCTCAGACTAAATTCGAATTGCGCTCTGCAGGGCCATTCGGGGGTGACGCTCTCAACAGGATTTCCTCCATACCTAGGGATCGAATCCGAGACCTCTGATTTGTTAGGACCGAAATAAGCAGGTGTAATGCAGAAGCTAGCAAAACAAACCTAGAAAGACCACGAGTAAGAAGACAAACGAGAAACACACCAAAAGACACAAAGATTTAACGTGGTTCGATCAATCGACCTACGTCCACAAAGGAGATGAGCAATCCACTATAAATATGAGAGTACAAAATATAAAGAGAAACAACCTCAATCAATTCACTCGGAATACAAGGAGGTACACAAAATTCTCCCCCATAACCACAACTCTCAAAAATCCTAGGACTACATTGTGAATGTTGATTAAGTTAGAAGGAACAAGCCTATATTTATAGAGTCCTAAAACTCTTTCCTACAAGAAAAGGACTAGCCAATCGAAAACCTTTTCCTAAAACGAAAATCTATTTATGGTAAGAAATTCAGGGCAAATAAAACCCAACATGATTAAGGGTGAAACACTCCCACCAATGCACCACAACTCATGTTGGTGATTCACGCAATGACTTGACATTCATAACATCAATCTTATAATCTATGAAATAGAACTTGCATTTGAATAAAACTTTATTATATATGTGATCAATCGTATATAAAATTAATTCAAACTTGTTAGCTAATGGAGTTGGGTGAAGCAAAAGGAAATTAGGAACGAATAAAAATGGGGAGTTGGGGAGGGGTAGGTGATGATTGGAATTTAATGATGAAATTAGCTTCATAAAATTAACTCATACTAATATTTTTGGGGAAAAAGAAGAATAATGAAGCTGGCACACAGCTCACATTTTTGGAACTTTTGACTTTAATTAAATTAATCCTTAGATTTAATGTACTAATTTAAGGATATAATGTACTACTATCTGGCATTGACCCCTTGAATTTTTGATGTTTATGAAAACTTTTTAAAAGGTTTCTTTCTAGTTAAAAAAAAAACTATCCAATTCAGGTTTGGTTAGTTTATAATAACATACTCGGTGTAAATCATAAACTGGCTTCAGAAAAGTGATGTGTACATGATATTACTTTTATCTTGAAAAGGTAGAGATATTATTACTGATAGACTCTCGATTCAAATAAAACATATCAAAATAATATGAAAAAATTGGTCTTGTAATACAATTAATTTAAGTTAAAAATAAATAAATAAAACTATTATATAAAAGTACTACAAGTCATATAATAATTATAGAATTATATATGTTAAGAAAGCAATAGCAAAACATCCAAGGATATAGCTTAGAGTAAAGTGAGTTGAGAATTATAAGGCCTTCAAGTTCAAATCCTGTCGTTAGAGACATAAACATTAGGTGATTTCTTCTTAGTTGTCCTCGCCTTGATATACACGGTTATCTAATAGTTAGTGAAAGATGACAAGTATCTTGTAAAATTAATTAAAATATGCATAAATTGATTTGAACAACAACTGTGTCACGTGAAAAGAAATTGAGGAGTAATATATCTGATTTAGCTCTAAAAGATTGAATAGATTTTACTAGCATAAATTGTTAAAGAAATTCTACAAATGTTATGTTCTCAAATCTCAATATTATTTGACACAAATTGTGTAAAGGACTATGCTAGTTAAGGCCCAATTTTTGGTTGTCTAATGGGAGTACCAAATAAGACATGATTTGGGCTTCGAAGCCACTTTGGGAGGAATGGAATAAATAGCCACTTTTGACATTTATTATCAAATAAAAATAAATATTAGCATTATTTTAAAAAGATACTAACATTTAGTGATTTTTTTGACATGAAAGTTTTTTGGGGTAAAAAATATAACAAGTTGTGCTGGAATTCAAAGGTTTGACAATTAAAACCCAATAATTCATATGGGGTTTAAATATTTGTTGGAGTTTCAAAAATTAAGAAATACTCAATTTTTTATAAATTCATAACCAAGAAATAATACAGGAGTTCAAACATTTGTTGGAGCTCCAAAATTAAGAACTGATTCATGGGATTCAAACATTTGTTGGAGTTCCAAAACTAAAAATCAATAACTTGGTTCAAAATTTTATAAGTTGAAAACTAAGGAACAATTGATGAAGTTTAAGAATTTACTAGAGTTGCAAGATTAAAAAACGATTCATGGATCAGAATTCAAGAATTTCAAAACTATGGAACAATTCATTGGGTTCAATAATTTGTTGAAATTAAGGGTGGAATAAATATTCTTTAGGTAATGCTAAATGGCCAGAAAATTTGGCAAGAAATTTAAAAAAATTATAATATCTTTTTCATTTTAAAATAAACTAATCTTTTTTTCATTTTTAATTAAAAGATATTAAAGTTAAAAGGATAAAAATGTTCAAAAAGGTAAAAATAACATAGGTAAAATATCATTACGGCCAAAAGGATTTTTCCATATTCTTTTTATGTCATTTTTGTTTATCTGATTTTGACCAGATACCATATGAAGTTCAAATTATTCTTTTTTGAATTTTAAAAGTCAAAATTAAAGAATAAAAAAAAAATGCAAAAATTTAATGAAGTATCTTTCTTAGATTTTGTATTGTCCCTTTTTTTCTTCTTTTATTTTTTTGGTGATGTGGATATAATCAAAGGGTATTATCGTCCTTTCACATTCATTCTGTGCCCTAACCTCTTTACTCTTATAATCGGAGCCCGCCATTGTTAGTTCTCTCTTAAACCGTTTCTCTTACAGGAGCAATTCTTCGTTAAACGCTGGTTAGCTAGGGTTTTTCGATTGACAGTTGCTCGAGAGCTCAATTACAATGGGAGTTCCAGCATTTTACCGATGGTTAGCTGAGAAGTATTCAATGGTTATAGTTGATATAATTGAAGAAGAAGCACCTGTTATTGAAGGAATTAAATTTCCACTTGATACGAGTAAACCTAATCCAAACAATATCGAATATGATAACTTGTATTTGGATATGAATGGTATTGTTCATCCATGTTTTCACCCTGAAGATCGAGTAAGCACTTAAATCCTATCCCTTTCAGTTCTAGTTAATTTTATTTCTGTATGATTATCTCTTGCTGAGTTATTTTAATGTTATTTTCATTCAAATTTGACTGTGTCTGTGTTTTATTTTTGAATTGGCGAGTTGTTGTGAATTGAGTATGAATTTGTGTATGCTGAAGTTTACTAATCCAAACAACATTGTATATGATAACTTGTGTTTGGATATGAATGGTATTATTGGATTGAGTACGTATTTCAATACTCTTTCTTTGAATTTTAGTCCTGTATGATTATTGGTTGCTGAGTTGTGTGTGTTTAAGTGATTTTTCGTTTAAATTTTGACTGTGTATCTGTGTTTTATTTTTGAATTGGTGGTGGTTTTTATATGAATTGAGTATGAATTTGTGTGTGTTGGAATGTAGTAATCCAAACAACCTTGAATACAATAACTTGTATTTGGATATGAATGGTATTATTTGATTGCATACGCATTCCAGTCCTCTACCTTTCAATTTTAGTTAATTCTAGTCCTCTATGATTGGTTGCTGAGTTATGTTAGTGTTTTAAATGAATTTTCGTTGGAATTTGACTGCGTGTTGTGTTGTATTTTTGAATTGGTGGTGGTTCATATATAAATTGAGCATGAATTTGTGTATGCTGAAATGTACTTTTCAAGCTTTCCATGTATGTTGCACACATTCCATTTCGTTTCGATTCTACTTTCACAAGTTACAACCTACAAGAATTCAAGTTAGTTAAACTATTGATTTTATGCTTTGATAGATTTTACTAGCTTTTCAACCCGTTTTTTAGTATTTTTCTTTCAAATGTCAATGATTTGGCTCACAGTCAAATTAACATCTTAGATTACTTATTTAGTCTAATGTTTTGTTTTTTAAAAATTTTCTTGGGTAAAATGTTTTCTAATGATTATTGTGACGTTTCTTTGATATAATCCCCTTTTTGCAGATTATATCCTAGTAAACAATTATTGTACTCTTTTTATTGTCGTTTCTTTGATGTTAATATGCTGCAAGTCATGAATTTGTCTTTGCACGATAGAAATTTTAGCTACACTCGTAAACTTAGGCTGTATTTGAGGAAAAACTTTTGGTCAAGATAGTACCCCATACATGTCCGAAAGCATCTTGGAGAGGTTGGAATAGAATAGCTCATCAAGCTAGTCAATACTACTCTAAGAAGTGGTACGATTCTCGACGAATGGAGAAAGAGAAAATAATTCCAATTTATAGTAACGAAGGAGATAGCCAAAGTTATGCAAACTAGTGCGTCATTGAACTCATGAGGAATACAATGAAACTCTGAGAAAGAGTGAT